CAGAACAGACGCTCTGATGTGGAGCAGCAGGTCAGATCCCAGCAGCGAACTGCAGTGAGGGGAGTCAAAGAGCTTCAGCAGGAGCTGCAGCAGGAGATCACTGAGCTGCAGAGGAAAGACGCTGAGCTGCAGCAGCTCTCACACACAGAGGACCACGTCCAGTTTCTGACCAGCTGCCCCTCACTGCCAGCACTCAGTGAGCCCACACACTCATCCAGCATCAGGGTGCGTCCTCTGAGATACTTTGAGGATGTGACAGCAGCTGTGTCAGAGCTCACAGACAAACTGAAGCACATCCTGACACAGGACTGGACTAAAGTCTCACTGGCAGCCGCTCAGCCGGATGTTCTACTGCCACCAGAACCAGAGAGCAGAGCCGACTTCTTAAGATATTCACGTAGAATCACACTGGATCCAAACACAGCACACAAATACCTGTTACTGTCAGAGGGGAACAGAAAGGTGACCAAGGCAGATAAACCTCAGTCTTATCCTGATCATCCAGACAGATTCACTGGATGGTCTCAGGTCCTGAGCAGAGAGAGTCTGACTGGACGTTGTTACTGGGAGGTGGAGTGGAGAGGGGAAAGAGGAGTTTCTGTAGCAGTCGCATACAAGAATATCAGAAGAACAGGAGATGGGGATGAATGTGGATTTGGATATAATGACAAATCTTGGTCATTATATTGTAATAAAGACGGTTTTACATTTAGGTCCAACAGCATAAAAACCTCCCTCTCAGCTCCTCCTTCCTTCAGAGTAGGAGTGTACCTGGATCACAGAGCAGGTATTCTGTCCTTCTACAGCGTCTCTGAAACCAGGACTCTCCTCCACAGAGTCCAGACCACCTTCACTCAGCCTCTCTATGCTGGACTCTATGTTTATCATGGATCCTCAGCAGAGTTGTGTGGACTCAGATGAACTCTCCTCTCAGCTTGTTGCTCAGAGTTCACTGCTGTGACGTCTTTGTTCCTTTTATTTTTCTGCTTCTTCTTGTGTTTGTGCAGCTGTGGAGGAAATCACTGCTAACCAGGAGTTTCATTCACAGAAAGTCTGAACTTCTCTGAACTCTGAATGTTTTCTGATGTATTTGTATTTTGTTGTTTTTCTTTCCCTTCACAGAGAAACCAGCAGAGCTTCTTTTATCGCAGGATATTTTACATCTCATCACTTTGGAAACATCGAAATTATTCTGTTTATAGTTTCTGTTGTTATAAATGAAAGAAGTTATTATTTCCTGGGTCAGAATCTATGTAATCCGTCTTTATGTTTGATTTGAAAACAACTTGTTTCATTTTATGATTTTAGAACAAATAAAACCTTAAAGGAACCAATCAACTCATTTGTCTTTCTGTTTGTTTCTAGTTTAATTGAATCTAAAGAAAATAAATAAGGGCAATATTTAGTAAAACACTGAAATGTTAAGTTAACTTAGATTATAAAAAATGCAGGTAAGATGAAGGAAACTCTTCCAACATGCACAAGAAAAAGAAAAAGGTTTCCAATCTGCATGGTTTCACAGCAGTCTGGCTTCTCATTGGGCTGGTGAGTGCAGACCTATAACTAAATCATTTCCCACATGTTTTACACTTGATAGGTTTCTCCCTTGTTCAGCTTCTCGTATGGATGGCGATTCCAGACCTGAAAATAAAACATTTCCCACACGTTTCACAAGAAAAGGGTCTCTCACAAATGTAGAACACATCAGAATTCATTTGTGCCAAAAAAGAAAAAAATTCTGGTAAAACTTTTCCCACACATTTTACGGGTGGTCGCCTTCTTCTCGTCTGTTTAAGTCTGTTGAGGTAAAACAGGAAAAATGTAACATTCCTGTCCTCCAGCAGCTCCTGGACTAAAAACGGACCAAAGTTTACGCATTCATCAGAAGCCAGTAGTTTACAGACTCTTTCATTTAACTGTATTCAGCAGAATGAATGTGGACTTAAGTGTTTGTGGGTATTTCTACATCTAAAATGTGCAGCAAATCCACACACGTGAGAAAATATTCAGGTTAAGCAGAATAAAGTAGCAGCCTCAGAAACCAGCCGGACCAACAGGATCAAACAGCACAAATGGTTTATTTCTTTTTAGTCCTCGTACAGCCATCGATCACAAATCCCTGGAGGTGCGTTATCTTTTAGGAGAACTGAGTTTTGCTGTCCGATGCTGCACACTGACCACACAAAACACTAAATAGAGTCCTTAATCGGGGGCGTGAGACCAGGAGGATGGCGTTTTAAAGGGAAAAAGCAGCCAAATGTTGTCTCTGGACTTTGATCAGTTGGATATACGTCACTCAGCAGTAAAATAAGCAGAAAAAACCCTCCTCTCAGTGAATTTAGGTAAAAAGAGCTCAGTTTGCTGTCCATCTTTTAGGGAAATGAGAGTATGAACTGAGTTTCTTTAAATTAATAACAGATGATCAAACATCGTCAGTCACAAAGCAGAAAAACGCATTTTTATAGAAAATAAAAACAGAAAAAAACGTGTGAAGTTGCACAATACAGCCAAATGATAATTTAGTATATTGAGTGTAATGGTTCTTCTCTTATCAAAAAATCTAGGGTCCTTGTCTGGTTTGGAGATACATATAATAATTCCTTGTTACATTGTGGTAGGTATAGTATCAGTTGTGTAGTTATAAATTACTTTATTGCAACTTTAACAGAAATGTACAATATATTGAAACAATTTACTACATCTCAGCCTTTTATATTAGACGAAAAAACAACTTCCTTAGCTTAATTTAAAAACTTCTCAGTCATTTAACACCACACGTTGTGAGCAACACATTCCACACACTCATCCAGCATCAGGGTGCGTCCTCTGAGATACTTTGAGGATGTGACAGCAGCTGTGTCAGAGCTCACAGACAAACTGCAGCACATCCTGACACAGGACTGGACTAAAGTCTCACTGGCAGCCGCTCAGCCGGATGTTTTACTGCCACCAGAACCAGAGAGCACAGCCGACTTCTTAAGATGTTCACATGACATCACACTGGATCTAAACACAGCAAACATATACCTGTTACTGTCAGAGGGGAACAGGAAGGTGACCGGGACGGATGATCCTCAGTCTTATCCTGATCATCCAGAGAGATTCACTGTCTATTGTCAGGTCCTGAGCAGAGAGAGTCTGACTGGACGTTGTTACTGGGAGGTGGAGTGGAGAGGGGGGGGGGGAGGAGTTTATGTAGCAGTCGCATACAAGAATATCAGCAGGGCAGGAGATGAATCTGGATTTGGATTTAATGACAAATCTTGGTCATTAGTTTGTAATGAAGACGGTTTTACATTTTGGTCCAACAGCATAAAAACCTCCCTCTCAGCTCCTCCTTCCTCCAGAGTAGGAGTGTACCTGGATCCCAGAGCAGGTATTCTGTCCTTCTACAGCGTCTCTGAAACCAGGACTCTCCTCCACAGAGTCCAGACCACCTTCACTCAACCTCTCTATGCTGGACTCTGGGTTTATTCTGCATCCTCAGCAGAGTTGTGTGAGCTCAGATGAACTCTCCTCTCAGCTTGTTGCTCAGAGTTCACTGCCGGGAAGTCTCTGCTGTTCATTTCTATTTTTCTGCTCCTTCCTGTGTTTCTGCAGCCGTGGAGGAAATCACTGCTAACCAGGAGTTTTATTCACAGAAAGTTTGAACTTCTCTGAGCTCTGAATGTTTGCTGATGTATTTGTATTTTGTTGTTTTTCTTTCTCATCACAGAGAAACCAGAATAGCTTATTTTGTCACAGAATATTTTACATCTCATCACTTTGGAAATGGGGAAATTATTTACAGTTTTTGTTGATTTAAATGAAAGAAGTTGTTGTTTCCTGGGTCAGAATCTATTTAATCCCTCTTCATGTTTAATTTGAAAACAAATTGTTTCATTTTATGATTTTTGGATTTTAGAACAAATATAACCGTAAAGGAACAAATAAATGATTTGTCTTTCTGTTTGTTCGCTGAACATTTGGGCTGATTTGTTTGTCGCTGTTTCTCTTTTTTGGTTGATTTGTACTTTTATTCGCTTCAGAAAAAAAAAATCCATAAAAAATAACATCCTTCCTACAGGAAACAAAATATCTTATCATTTGAGTCTTAATATAAGAAATATAATTTTTTACGTCTTTCAGACAACGTTTACATTAATTATTTGTTCTGCTGTAACTTCAAAAGATTAAAAAATTAGTTAGAAACTGGAAGAAAAACTACTTTAGAAGATTTACTGTTGAACAGAAATTAGGATGTAACTGCAGACTTTGTCTTTTCCTGTAAAAAGTTTGTTTTTCTAAAGATTTTATTCATTTTACTATTCTTTTTCTGCACTTTTTTGGCTTTAAAAATAAAAAATAAAAAAGGCAAACGTCTCATTAACATGTGACATAAAACACAACTTTCCATCAGTGATGAAACATGAAGCTGGCAGACACACACACACAGAAACCCACTTTCTCTGGTTCGATCTGTTTCACTCTGCGCCTCTGCATCCCGTTCAGCCTCTGAGTCCTCCAGGCAGGAACAGGCCCCAGAACCCGGTTCTGGTGGGTTCTGGGGGGTCAGAACTGGGTTCTAGTGGGTTCTGGGGGGTCAGAACTGGGTCAGAAACATGGGGCCAAAACAAGGCTGAAAAATTCGGCCAGAATTGTTCTCAAACTGGGCTGAAGTTTTTAAGCTCCCTTTTCTGTCAGATGTGGCTGGAATGAAACAAAATCTGGATTTTATTCGAGGCTGGAATCGTTTCTGACCCCTTTAGTTTAGTGTCCGGCGACAGAATGGGAAAAAAACTGAGAATCCAGCTTAACACTCGCTTGAATTTGAGTCTAGATTTACTAAAAGATGCAAAAAGGTAGAACTTTGGAGCTTGAGGAAGCCCATTTGTGTCCAGTTACATCCTGGTTGCTCCCAGATTGAATGATCTGGGCCTTAATATGCTTTGTAATACTCAAAAGAGTCCATTTCATTTAGTTTTAATCAGACTAACGTGTTTACATGCATTATATTACTCAAAGTTTGGTCTGACTAACACAACAACACATTCTTCTGAGTGGTCCTGTGCAGAAATAGGAATAAACTTGTTGTTTGACTTCTTTTTGTTAATTCTCTGTGTGCTCAGCTTTTCAGCCCTTTAAGGTTTTAGTACCAAAGCAAAGTTTCCAAGACAAAAGGCAGATAAAAGGCATTTTCCATCAAAGTGTCTTCAGGTTTCTGTACGACATTCTCAACATCAAACAGCTTCTTCCAATGTGTGTTTTTAGCTGTAGATTTTCTCAAATGAGATTCTTCGGTTGTCATTTCTCCCGTTTTAAAGCTGTGTTTGGCCGTTTGTTCCCCACTAGAGGGCAGAAAGGTCCCAGAGTGAACCGGAGCAGTCTGAGTTTGGAGTGGGAGTTCGTTTCTGAAGGTGTTTGTTGTGTTTTCTATGAAATTTGTTTATTTGTATAGTTTATTTCTTATTTGCATGTTTAAATTAAATGCTTACATTAAACCAAATAAATAAATAACTAAATGGCAAGTATCAGATTTGAGGAGTTTAGGAGTTAATAGTGTTGTGCCTATTTAAGAGAGTTTGCTGTCCCATGAGGCGTGTCCCATGTGATCTGGGCTTGCCCTTTCAAAAGGAAGGCTAGATTTGTTTGTTGGAATGTACTGTCAACTCGGTGTGCAGCCACTTGGTAAGCTTCTTTAATTTCTTGCTTTCTTGTCTGCTTTCATGTTGTCTGCTTATGTATTGTTGCACTGTGTTTACGTCTGCTGATTCTTTGTGTTTTACCTACGTCAAATAAGGTAACGTTTGCTCCGGTGGCATCCAGACAGTTTATGCCGATAATTAATCAAAGTAAAAAAAAAAAAAAGAAAAAGTTATGAATGGCGAAACTGTAAAAATAAATATTTGAACTTGCTACGTTGCCGTCTTATCTTTGATCCTTTCTGTAGCTTTAGAAATGTTTAATGAAATGATGTGTGCAGATACCGGCGTTTGACGTGAATCCTGTACTTCCTGGTTTGCTGCAGGGCATTGTGGGAACTGTAGTTTGGTGTAGCTTTCAGAGAAAGACTAAAGAAACGAAAAGGCAGTTTTGCATGGATTTGAATATGGTGCATAATATTGGATATATGAAGCATGAACATGAGGAAATTATATTATATATTTGTATTTTGGTTAATCCATATAATGATTACTATACTATTATTTTCTTGATTTCAATTTGTTGATATTTGTCAATTGATATGATTTGTTATTTATCATTATTGCTTGCTGTTATTGGCTATTATGGTGAGTGAGCTATGTGTGTGTTATGCATATAAGTGAAAGTGCATTTTTTTTACATTTCAGGTTTATTACCTGCTGTTGCTACTGCTGCGTTTCATTTAAAAGAAATAAAACAAAAGAAATTGGAACAACTGACAACTGAGTAATATCCTTTGTACACCGGGTTGCCCCTTTCCGTGGGAATAAAACGGAACAGTGTTTCTGATCCGGAGTCTCTGTCACGGGGACGCTCACAGCTCCAAACCACATTTAAACATGTCCTATGATGTCATTTAACACTAAAGTGTCAATAAAACGCTGTGAAGCAGTTTGTGTTTGCTGTTGGACTGTGAACCCCTGGGTTAATTATTACCTACTGATCAGGTTTCAGGATTTACTGGCTTCCTGAGCTTGTTTTGGACTCAGAGTCATTCAGAGAACGAGCAGAAATGAGAAGAACAAAACGAGGGAATAAATACGGGACGTTAGAGCTGGCATTCGCTGACCGGACATTAACTTTCATCACCCTTTTTTTCCCCTGTTAATCTCAACTAGTTCCTGTTTTTTTGCCTCTGAAATATGTTTTAAGGAACCACTTAAAACTGTGTCCCTTCTACGTGTGTCTAAGAGTAGGAAGTGAAACTCAAACAGCTGCTGAGATAAAAAGAAAACGGCTCAGAAAAGAGTTCGGCTGGACACGGAAAGCGTTTCCTGTTCCATCTGGATCACTGAGCGGTCGATTTGGGGCGATCTGCCAGGTTCCTTTTTTAACTGGGAGAAATCTGAGGAGACTTCTCTTCACAAAGAGATTAAAAGAAGGTAAAACTGTTGGATCAGATCCCGGAGCCGCTCCCTGTTCTGACTCAGATGCTCCTCCCCGGATCATATTTCCTGCCCCCCCCATCAGATCTGCAGCTGGAGGCGGGGGCAGCCGACAGGCTGAGAGCTGATTGGCTCTGGTCTCTGTGCAGACACGTGATTTCCAGCTCAGAGCTTTGACTGTTTTCTGATGCATTTGTATTTTGTTGTTTTTATTTCCCTTCACAGAGAAACCAGGATATTTTACATCTCATCACTTTGGAAATATGGAAATGATTCTGTTTACAATTTTTGTTGTTATAAATGAAAGAAGAAGTTGTTTCCAGGGTCAGAATCTATGTAATCCCTCTTTATGTTTAATTTGAAAACAACTTGTTTCATTTTATGATTTTTGGATTTTAGAACAAATAAAACCTTAAAGGAACCAAGAACTTATTTGTCTTTCGGTTTGTTTTCTAGTTTAATTGAATCTAAAGCAAATAAATAAGGGCAATATTTAGTATACACTGAAATGTTAAGTTAACTTAGATTATAAAAAATGCAGGTAAGATGAAGGAAACTCTTTCAACATACACAAGAAAAAGAAAAAGGTTTCCAATCTGCATGGTTTCACAGCAGTCTGACTTCTCATTGGGCTGGTGAGTGCAGACCTATAAGTAAATCATTTCCCACATGTTTTACACTTGATAGGTTTCTCCCTTGTTCAGCTTCTCGTACGGATGGCGATTCCAGACCTGAAAATCAAACCTTTCCCACACGTTTCACAAGAAAAGGGTCTCTCACAAATGTAGAACACATCAGAATTCATTTGTGCCAAAAAAAAAGAAAAATTCTGGTAAAACTTTTCCCACATATTTTACAGGAGTTCGCCTTCTTCTCGTCTGTTTAAGTCCAATACGGTAAAACAGGAAAAATGTAAGATTCCTGTCCTCCAGCAGCTCCTGGACTAAAAACGGACCAAAGTTTATGCATTCATCAGAAGCCAGTAGTTTACAGACTCTTTCATTTCACTGTATTCAGCAGAATGAATGTGGACTTAAGTGTTTGTGGGTATTTCTGCGTCTAAAACATGCAGCATCTCCCCACACTTTAGAAAACATTCAGGTTAAGCAGACTAAAGTAGCAGCCTCAGAAACCAGCCGGACCAACAGGATCAAACAGCACAAATGGTTTATTTCTTTTAGTCCTCGTACAGCCATCGACCACAAATGGTGTTTCTACCTTAAAGTAAGCTGAAATATCCATCCATCCATTATCATTACCGCTTATTCCCTGATGGGGTCGCGGGGGGAACTGGAGTCCTTTAGAATCAGAATCAGAATTAGGTTTATTGCCAAGTAGGTTTTTCACCTACAAGGAATTTGCTTTGGTGTTTGGTGCACAACACTTCTATGAGAAACAAGAAAGGACATACAATGTAGAAATAAAAATATAGAATAAAATAAAATAAATAATAATAATAATAATAATAATAATAAATAATTAAATAACAGACCAGAAAATGTTGAACGTAGCATTGTGTATATTAGTGGGGTAGAGGGGGGTGGGGGAATAATAGGTGGGGGTCGCTGGCCTCGTTGTTGAGGCCAGTTGCTGCTGGATAAAAACTGTCTTTATGGCGTTAGGAACCAGAAGCAGACTCTTCCACCGTTCCTTAATGTCTCCAGGCGCTCACGATATCAACATCACTTTCATGGCTCTTATAGTTTTGGCTCAGGAGGTCAGAATGTGAAGGGAACTTTTGGCGGTTGAACCAGCACAGAGCAGAGCTGCCTGTCTCCATGACGACGAATAACAAAGCCTGTCAACGGCAGACCGACGTAGAAATGTATATATTAAATTGTTGAATAAGTCGTTCAAGGCTCAGGATTTAAACGAAAGAGCTCCGGCTCTGATCCCGCTGACACAGAACGGTTTGTTGCTTTTAAGATCCAGTGTTGATTTGAAAAATAACCAAAACCATAAAAAGTGCAGCTGCTTCCGCTTTTCTGTTCTTTCTCTCGGAAACGTAACGTCTCTCCATCTTCCCCGCAGCTCACAGCTGTCGGCTGCGTCGCTGCTATGCTGCCACCTGGTGGCCGCTCAGGGTTAGCGCAGTGTTCCTCACTGGGACATGTACGCATGCGCGGGCCGGTCACCAACCTCTGTCCCGCCTTCTCCGTGATGGCCAAACTCACGAACAAGCACAAGTCTCACGTTGACGGGAATTGTCATTCAACTGTGTAAAAGTTAAATAAATAAAAGACGCTGTCATTCAACGTGATTTTTAAATTAAGTCTCTGTAAACGTACTGAGACAGAAACCGTCAGTTGTGTAGTTTCGAACGACTTTATTGCAACTTTTACAAAAATGTACAATATATAGAATTGTTTACAATATGTGAGCCTTTGGTATTGACACAAAATTACTTCCTTAATTTATACATTTCTCTGTCATCTAACACCAAAAGTCGTGAGCAACATTTAACTATACACACAGTGTGTGTCTTTAAAGTCCATTAATTTAATTTGGGTTTGTTTTTTTCCACCTTTCCCAGGGCAAGCTAATGTTTCCCTACGAATTCCATTCATTATGTTAAGCTAGCGCACTGTGCTAACGGCGTAAACGACTAACATAACAACTTAATTTAAACATTTCTGAGTCGTTTGAGACCACACATAGTGAGCAATTGTTAACTGTATGCATAGTATGTGCACACAGTGTGTATCTTTACGGTCCATTAGTCTAGTTGGACTTCTGTTCCTCAACCTTTCCCGGGGCAGGCTAATGTGTCCCTACGACTTCCATTCATTATGCTAAGCTAGCGCACTGTGCTAACTGTGTAAAACGACTAGCATAACAACTCATTTGAAACAAATTCTGAGTCATTTAACACGATATAACATGAGCAACTGTTAACTATTTAGACAGTGTGTGTCTTTATAGTCCATTAGTCTAGTTGTTTTTTTTCCATCTTTCCAGGCGTAGGCTTATGTTTCCCATATACTTCAACTCATTATGCTAAGCTAGAGCAATGTGCTAACGACTTAAACGACTTTTAAAAAAAATTAATAGAAACATTTCTCAGTCGGTCTTACTCATGAAAAAGTACAAGTCTGCCATTGACAGGTATTGTTATTCGTCGTCATGGAGACAGGCAGCTTTGCTCTGTGCTGGTTCAACCGCCAAAAGTTCCCTTCCCATTCTGACCTCCTGAGCCAAAACTATAAGAGCCATGAAAATTATGTTGATATCGTGAGCGCCTGGAGAGATTAAGGAACGCGTCGCTGCTTTTCATTTTTATATTGAGCCAGAATTGTGCCAACGGGAGCGATTTCAAAATATTATACTTTTTTGGTCTCTTCTAGTGTCCGTCAGCTTTTAACATTAAGTTTCCAGGTAAAAGTTGAAGGATACATCTGACTCTGAAGGTCACAGCTCAAAATCTAAAAGCTTAAAGACTTTGATAGTTACATTCGCTGAAAGAAGACACATTTTCCTACGTTTTAAGATATCATTTCTATATGGAATTTGAAGGATGTGGAAGTAATCTGAAGGAGTTTAAAGATATTTTGAAGAATGGAACTGGCTGAAAAATCTAGAGTGAGTCACATGACCCCTTTGATCTCCCACTCTAAAGTGCCTCTATAGGAATGACATTGTCAACATTTTAATGATGTTTAAACTGTGATATTCAAAACACCGCCGGATATTTTAAGGAGAAAAGATAACTGGTAATAGCCCAATACCTTGAGAAACATTTAAAAGTTAAATAGTGTTTCTACCTTGAAGTAAGCTGAAATAGTTCAAGCTGAAGTAGGTCAAACTTTTTTAATGATTTGAAGGCTCCGCCATTCATTTTAAATGAGAGGAAAAAGTCAGAAAAAGTTCAATTATTCAAAAGGTTCAAAAGGTTTCAACACAAAAAGACACAGAAACAATGTCCAAAAGAAACGCAATGAATTTATAAATTATTTCTTTAAATAGGCTGAAGTATGTTGAAGTAGTTAAATATCAAAAAGCGTACAGAATAAAGTTAAGAAGGAAAATGAACAGGAAAACAATAGATAAAAAAATTAAAAAAAGATACATGGAGTAGTCCATCTTCTTAATGCTCTACAGATTTAAGGACTTGTTTTCCTTCATCTGATTTAAAAATTATTTAGATTTCACTCTGAGCAGAAACTCAAAGAAGTCATCAAACATTTTATAAATGGAGTTAAATCTCTCCCCTCCCTGGAATGTCTGATGATCCTGATCTACCTCCTGCTCTTAAACACAGTAGATCCAGTGGGGTATTGTGTGGCTTCAAGGAGAGACAGATCAAAAGGACATGGAGTCCGTAAAGAGAAGCTGAAGTCTGCCTGTTCTAACCCTGCAATGATAACACAGCCTAGACAGAACAGGTTTTTTCTTTATAGCAGTAAGATGACGTGTCTTTCTCTGCAGAACACACCCTGTTTGTTTGGACTCCGGTCACATGTTTCAGATGGGCGTGAGCAGCAAGCTGTAACATGACGCTGCTGACACTCCTTGTTTCCTGGTTCAGGTGAGATTGTTTATGCTCAGAGAAACGGGAAATATTCAGACGTTACTGTGAAGAGGAGAAATGGCGCAGCAGGGAAGTCAGCTGGACAGACAGAAATTCTGCTGTTCGATCTGTTTGGATCTCCTGAAGGATCCGGTGACTATTCCCTGTGGACACAGCTACTGCATGAACTGTATTAAAGGCCACTTTGATGTGGAGGATCAGAAGAGACTTCACAGCTGCCCTCAATGCAGGCAAAGCTTCATACCCAGGCCTGTCCTGGTAAGAAGCACCGTGTTAGCAGAAATATTAGAAGACCTGAAGAAGACTGGACTCCAAGCTGCTCCTGCTGATCACTGCTATGCTGGACCTGAAGATGTGGCCTGTGATGTCTGCTCTGGGAGAAAACTGAGAGCCAGCAAGTCCTGTTTGGTATGTGTGGCCTCTTACTGTGAGGAACACCTTCAGCCTCATTATGAGTCACCTACATTTAAGAAACACAAGCTGGTGGAGCCCTCCAAGAAGCTCCAGGAGAACATCTGCTCTGTCCATGATGAGGTGAAGAAGCTGTTCTGCCGCACTGATCAGAAGTCAATCTGTCTTGTCTGTGCGATGGATGAGCATAAAGGCCACCACACAGTGTCAGCGGCAGCAGAAAGGACTGAGAGGCAGGGAGAGCTGGAGGGGAGGCGGCAACAAATCCAGCAGAGAATCCAGGACAAACAGCAAGATGTGGATCTGCTCCAGCAGGAGGTGGAGGCCATCGATCAGTCTGCTGACAAAACAGTGGAGGACAGTGGGAAGATGTTCACTCAGCTTATCCGTCTCATTCAGAACAGACGCTCTGATGTGGAGCAGCAGGTCAGATCCCAGCAGCGAACTGCAGTGAGGGGAGTCAAAGAGCTTCAGCAGGAGCTGCAGCAGGAGATCACTGAGCTGCAGAGGAAAGACGCTGAGCTGCAGCAGCTCTCACACACAGAGGACCACGTCCAGTTTCTGACCAGCTGCCCCTCACTGCCAGCACTCAGTGAGCCCACACACTCATCCAGCATCAGGGTGCGTCCTCTGAGATACTTTGAGGATGTGACAGCAGCTGTGTCAGAGCTCACAGACAAACTGAAGCACATCCTGACACAGGACTGGACTAAAGTCTCACTGGCAGCCGCTCAGCCGGATGTTCTACTGCCACCAGAACCAGAGAGCAGAGCCGACTTCTTAAGATATTCACGTAGAATCACACTGGATCCAAACACAGCACACAAATACCTGTTACTGTCAGAGGGGAACAGAAAGGTGACCAAGGCAGATAAACCTCAGTCTTATCCTGATCATCCAGACAGATTCACTGGATGGTCTCAGGTCCTGAGCAGAGAGAGTCTGACTGGACGTTGTTACTGGGAGGTGGAGTGGAGAGGGGAAAGAGGAGTTTCTGTAGCAGTCGCATACAAGAATATCAGAAGAACAGGAGATGGGGATGAATGTGGATTTGGATATAATGACAAATCTTGGTCATTATATTGTAATAAAGACGGTTTTACATTTAGGTCCAACAGCATAAAAACCTCCCTCTCAGCTCCTCCTTCCTTCAGAGTAGGAGTGTACCTGGATCACAGAGCAGGTATTCTGTCCTTCTACAGCGTCTCTGAAACCAGGACTCTCCTCCACAGAGTCCAGACCACCTTCACTCAGCCTCTCTATGCTGGACTCTATGTTTATCATGGATCCTCAGCAGAGTTGTGTGGACTCAGATGAACTCTCCTCTCAGCTTGTTGCTCAGAGTTCACTGCTGTGACGTCTTTGTTCCTTTTATTTTTCTGCTTCTTCTTGTGTTTGTGCAGCTGTGGAGGAAATCACTGCTAACCAGGAGTTTCATTCACAGAAAGTCTGAACTTCTCTGAACTCTGAATGTTTTCTGATGTATTTGTATTTTGTTGTTTTTCTTTCCCTTCACAGAGAAACCAGCAGAGCTTCTTTTATCGCAGGATATTTTACATCTCATCACTTTGGAAACATCGAAATTATTCTGTTTATAGTTTCTGTTGTTATAAATGAAAGAAGTTATTATTTCCTGGGTCAGAATCTATGTAATCCGTCTTTATGTTTGATTTGAAAACAACTTGTTTCATTTTATGATTTTAGAACAAATAAAACCTTAAAGGAACCAATCAACTCATTTGTCTTTCTGTTTGTTTCTAGTTTAATTGAATCTAAAGAAAATAAATAAGGGCAATATTTAGTAAAACACTGAAATGTTAAGTTAACTTAGATTATAAAAAATGCAGGTAAGATGAAGGAAACTCTTCCAACATGCACAAGAAAAAGAAAAAGGTTTCCAATCTGCATGGTTTCACAGCAGTCTGGCTTCTCATTGGGCTGGTGAGTGCAGACCTATAACTAAATCATTTCCCACATGTTTTACACTTGATAGGTTTCTCCCTTGTTCAGCTTCTCGTATGGATGGCGATTCCAGACCTGAAAATAAAACATTTCCCACACGTTTCACAAGAAAAGGGTCTCTCACAAATGTAGAACACATCAGAATTCATTTGTGCCAAAAAAGAAAAAAATTCTGGTAAAACTTTTCCCACACATTTTACGGGTGGTCGCCTTCTTCTCGTCTGTTTAAGTCTGTTGAGGTAAAACAGGAAAAATGTAACATTCCTGTCCTCCAGCAGCTCCTGGACTAAAAACGGACCAAAGTTTACGCATTCATCAGAAGCCAGTAGTTTACAGACTCTTTCATTTAACTGTATTCAGCAGAATGAATGTGGACTTAAGTGTTTGTGGGTATTTCTACATCTAAAATGTGCAGCAAATCCACACACGTGAGAAAATATTCAGGTTAAGCAGAATAAAGTAGCAGCCTCAGAAACCAGCCGGACCAACAGGATCAAACAGCACAAATGGTTTATTTCTTTTTAGTCCTCGTACAGCCATCGATCACAAATCCCTGGAGGTGCGTTATCTTTTAGGAGAACTGAGTTTTGCTGTCCGATGCTGCACACTGACCACACAAAACACTAAATAGAGTCCTTAATCGGGGGCGTGAGACCAGGAGGATGGCGTTTTAAAGGGAAAAAGCAGCCAAATGTTGTCTCTGGACTTTGATCAGTTGGATATACGTCACTCAGCAGTAAAATAAGCAGAAAAAACCCTCCTCTCAGTGAATTTAGGTAAAAAGAGCTCAGTTTGCTGTCCATCTTTTAGGGAAATGAGAGTATGAACTGAGTTTCTTTAAATTAATAACAGATGATCAAACATCGTCAGTCACAAAGCAGAAAAACGCATTTTTATAGAAAATAAAAACAGAAAAAAACGTGTGAAGTTGCACAATACAGCCAAATGATAATTTAGTATATTGAGTGTAATGGTTCTTCTCTTATCAAAAAATCTAGGGTCCTTGTCTGGTTTGGAGATACATATAATAATTCCTTGTTACATTGTGGTAGGTATAGTATCAGTTGTGTAGTTATAAATTACTTTATTGCAACTTTAACAGAAATGTACAATATATTGAAACAATTTACTACATCTCAGCCTTTTATATTAGACGAAAAAACAACTTCCTTAGCTTAATTTAAAAACTTCTCAGTCATTTAACACCACACGTTGTGAGCAACACATTCCACACACTCATCCAGCATCAGGGTGCGTCCTCTGAGATACTTTGAGGATGTGACAGCAGCTGTGTCAGAGCTCACAGACAAACTGCAGCACATCCTGACACAGGACTGGACTAAAGTCTCACTGGCAGCCGCTCAGCCGGATGTTTTACTGCCACCAGAACCAGAGAGCACAGCCGACTTCTTAAGATGTTCACATGACATCACACTGGATCTAAACACAGCAAACATATACCTGTTACTGTCAGAGGGGAACAGGAAGGTGACCGGGACGGATGATCCTCAGTCTTATCCTGATCATCCAGAGAGATTCACTGTCTATTGTCAGGTCCTGAGCAGAGAGAGTCTGACTGGACGTTGTTACTGGG